TTAGAGGCTTGCAGACTAGTGTGTGGGGTTTACAACTACGTTATGGTCATGCTGGCCTAGTTTGTTGGTTTGCTGAAGCTTGTTAGTTGTGTGATGCATTGTCTTGTTATATACATGCTTTCAGTTTTGGTATAGAGATCATGGTGGCCTTGACGGCCCAATCAGGACTTCTGTGCTAGTTGACAATTTCTTTATATGAACTCTTGGGAGTAGCTGTTTCTTTTGTAGATCTGTTGACAGGGGCCTTGCCGGCCGAGGGCTTAGTTTAAGCCGAGATATACTTGTTTGTTTTCTTAAATGCATGTGACTGTCATGCGCTAGTAGCAAATGGTTCAGCAGGATCGGCTCGGGCCTGAGTTTTGGCCTTAGGAGCCAGTTGCGCCCTTTGAGTTTGGGGCGTGACAAAAAGGGTCAAAATTACCCTCGAACTATTCAAAATAGCTCATATATACCCTTTATTTATGTTTGGGATCAAAACTACTCTTGTCATCTATGTTTTAGACCACAAATACCCTTAAAACATTATATTTGTCATATGTGCGGCGGACATGGCAGTCCACCTAGGCAGACCAACATGGTAAAAATCACTTCCTCTAAATTATGTTGTTCTTCCTTGTTAAAGTGAAGGGCATATATGCTCTAGTTTTTGGATGACATGGGCACCAATGTCCCAAAAGTATGACGGAGGGTATCTGCATACCATTTACAATAGTTTGGGGGTATATTTGTCCATTTTCCCTTTTTAGTTTGAAGATTGATATTTGAAGATTTAAGTTGAAATCCCAAAACAATGAACTCGATCCTTCAACACGCAATTACAACCTCAAACAAACTTCAACACACTTTGAAATTGGAGTTCCAAAGTCCGAACAACAACTCAAACAAGAATAATGTGAAAGAATTATATTTGATTTCCTTTTTGTGATAGGGATGAATAGGAAGAACAACAATATTGAGAGGAAAGTATTTTTGCAATGTTGAATTGTCTGGATGGACTGTCATGTCAGCTCTAATGGCAAAGATAACGTTTTAGGGGTATTTGTGGTCCAAAGCATAGACAGCAAGGGTAGTTTTGATCTCAAACATAATTAAAGGGTATAGGCGGAATGACCTGGGAGACCCATGTACTTGGCTCCGCTTGTAAGTTGCACCCTTCTACTTATCAATTTGTCAACTAAACCTCTAAACTCATCAGAGCTCAATATTTTAAACCCCTTTGACCATTGACCGAACTTATTTGGCATTGATAATGTTGATTTGGAAATTTACGTGATTACACGCGTTTGACAGCGAGTAAATAAGATATTTTACATTAAAAATATTTAAATAATAATAATAATTATCAATTTTTTTTAAAATAAATTAAAAACCCATTTTCCTCAACCATCCCTTTCCCACCCCACCCTTCTCTCCTCTGTCCCCAGCCCCCCTTCTCTCTTCTTCTTCTTGGAATTTCATCCACCACACCCACTCTCCCCCTCTTCATTCTCTCCTTCATCCACTTTCTTCTCAACCCACACTTCTTTTTCACTACAAATCAGTCGCCCACCCTAACCACTTACACTCTATTTAGATCATTGTTACCCATTGTATTGTATTGTATTTTATCGTTACCATACCTACAATGTTTGTTTTGATTGTTACTTAAAATGTATTGTATTGTATTGTTAAATTTCGTTGTTACGTAACAATGAAAACCCCCATTTTATGGAACAACCGATTTGGTGTGTTACCATTGTTACTTAATTTCTTTTTTCAATTATATCATGGCATAATATTTCATAATATTTTTTTACCCTTTACCATATATTATTTAATTCTAGTCAGACCTCCTACCCTATAATAGTTAAGGATATTTTAGTAAAATTATAAATTACAATACAGTACGATACAGTCAAACCAAACAATAAAAATGTTATTAAACAACAACAAACAATACAGTCTAGCCAAACATTGTATCTACCATACAGTATAGTACAATAGAGTACAATACAATACAATACAATACAATACAGTACATTATGAAACAATGGGTAACAATTATCCAAACAGAGTGTTAGTCTAAAAGTCTTTTAGATTTTAGCTTTTTAGCCTAAAAGTATTGAGATTATTATTTGTTCTTTTAGGCTTCAAAAAAGAGGTCTAAGTATGGATTAACACGAAGGATAATGGTGGATATTGAAAAATTAAAACTCCATTGATAAGTTAGAGAAAGCTTGAAAAATAACAAATGGGTCTTGTGAATTTGTGAAATTGATTCAAAATTATGATTGAGATTAGTTGGATTTGTGGTGGTGAACTTGTATTTGAATTTTCAAGTCAAATGGGAAAAAATCTCATCTATTTGACATGAATTTAGTGTTCAATTTGGAATAAATATGAAGAACATGCATATTTGGGATATATATATATATTTTTTATTTTTTTTAAATGCTTATCTAAAATTTCTAAAAATTACAAAAGTGACTTAATTGATTTTTTTTAATTTTTAACATGTAATTTCGTCATTAAAAATGACATGAAATTCCACGTGTAAGCAATTGTACTTCACACACACTAGTCAGATGAAAAAAGGGTTCAAAATATTACGTTTTGATGAGTTAAGGGGTTCAGCTGATAAATTGATAAGTAGGAGGGTCCAACTTACAAACGGAGCCAAGTACAGGGGTCTCCCAGGTCATTCCGCCAAGAGTATATATGAGCTATTTCGAATAGTTCAAGGGTAATTTTGACCTTTTTCATATAAAAAAAAGATTAAAAATTGAAACTTTAATAGAATCTATTATAATATTTGATAAAATATATTTAAGAAAAAAGAATTATTGAAAATGTTAGATAGAAAATGAAAAAAAAAAAAGAAATTTAAGGCATGTATGGTCCTTATTTGTGAAGTTCCGCTGTAGGAGATAAGATGAGCAGCTCCTTTGTTCCTAAGGCTTTGCCTTGTCTTCCTCGCAAAGTTGAGAAACCACATAACAGAAGTTACTCTTCTTTTAAGATAGAGGCATCAAAATTAGGCATCAATTTGAAGGCTATTCAAATTCAAAGCAATTCAAAATCCTCATTGGCTATTCAAATTGGAACACTAGTTTTATCCACTGTAATAATTACTGCGTAATTATTTTCAACTTTCATATATATATTGCTATTTCTTAATGTATATATAAGAATTTCATAATATATGTATAGGTATGTAGTGCTGAACCGGTATTGGCAGTGACAGGAGTAAATAATGAAGAAGACTTGGTTTCGGTGTTGATCCAATTAGCCATTTCTGCATTCTTCTACTTCCTTGTTTGCCCAGTAAGTCCATATATCCATTTTATTGTGCTTTTTGTTATTACTCCAATTAATCATATATTTATAATATGAATTTTCTTGATACAAGATTTTTTATAACACAATCCATATATAATTTTAAGAAATACTATATAATAATCGAGCAATTAACAATGGCTTTGATATCTTTGATAGATTTAAATAACATACGGTGTAGGATTTGTGTACCTTTGATTGTTGCAGTAGAATGAAATTCACGAACCGAATAATTTGCTCCAAATACTTCTTTATATCACTAGGAAACAAAGATAATGATTCACAAACTAAATATCCTTTTGTTGGATGTCTTGATTGATGTCAATAATTCAAGAAGATTTCACAGCTATTATTTTTCTTTTCTTTTGTGTTCTTCTTTTTCTTACTTCTAAGGAGCATCCCCGAAAAACACTTAAATATCTTTTATCAGAAAATAACTTCGGGTCAGGTCAGATTGGATCAGATGAGCGATCCACGACCCAAAACCTACGACTTCCGTTAAAACCTCAATTTATGTGTCACAATTCAAATCTGAAGAGATAAATAATTTAACTTTCATAATATATTCGGGCATGAAATTTTACCTTTTGAGAATAAAATTTATAATTTGAATTACCTAAAAATTACTATAAATCAAAAAAATTAATAATACAACATGTTTAAAAGATATTTTTATAAAAATAATGACTAAAAAAGATTGATTTAATTCCCAAAATCTAAAAGTATGATGGTGTTTTATGTGAGTTCCATTGCAGCCCATCATAATGAGCTGGCTTAGGAAAAGGTGGTACAAGAGGGACCTATTGGAGATGTATTTGCAGTTCATGTTTGTCTTCATTTTCTTTCCCGGGTAAGTCCTACTTCTATCAATTAGTATCATTTACTATTTTTAATGTACATAGGTAAACTAGAAAATTAATAATCTATATATTCGATGATAAATCTTTTATTTGTTTTACTATTTTTAATTCTAGATCTACCGATACAAATTTGAAAAAATTATTTATATACGCATCTTATTTTATCATAATCTCTAAAATTCCTTACAATTTAAAAAAAAAAAAAATTCCTTCTCGGATACATCACTTTCTTCTCGTTGATACATCTCTTTCCCTCTCGGATACATCCCTCCCCTATGTATTCGGATCTTATCCCCTCTTGGATACATCCCTCCTCTATGTATCCGAATGTCCTATTCCCTTTCCGATACATTCCCCTCTTTGATACATCTTTGGCCTATGTATCCGAAAGTCCGTAATCGAAATTCATAAGTTTTAAGGGACTTTTGTAATTTGAAAAAGAGTGAGGAAATAATGTAACTACTCTTAACACTAAGGAATTTATATATAAAAAAAATTAATTAAAGAGATCGACTCTATCCGTGTAAATCCAAAATCCTAATTTGATGGGTAATAATTTTTTACTCTTTTTATTTTTAGTTGAATCAGTAAAAATCATAATTATAAAGAAACAATCCAATCTAATTCGACCAAAATCCATATGCGAAACTGATTATACTGAAATAATTATGTTACTCTTGTTTAGAGTTTTGTTATATAAAGGGAATATCATGTTATCAATCATATTTGCCGCTAAGTATAAAAATATATCTTTTCCTCATTTGAAAATATTAAAGTTATTTCATTATATTTTCAATTAGAGATCTTGAAATTGCACTTGATTAGAGTCTGTTTGGAATTGTTGTTTGTAGATCAAAAACATTTATTTTGGGGGAAAAAAATATTTTTTTCTAAAAAGATAAGATGTTTGACAAATCAATAATACTATTTTTAAATGGAGCAGAAACAGTTTTTTTGGTGTTGGGAATAAACTAAAAATTTATGTTTTTAAGAAAAGTAGGAGCAAAAAATAATTTTTTTCAAGACCAAAATATCATTTTATATTTACATATTTACCAATTTAATTTAATAAAAATGAAAATGTCATTAAATTTTTTATAATAGATATATAAAATAGTTTCTCTCTATAAAATAATTTTAATATTAAAAGTACATTGATATTTGTCTCCTTTTTTTTGTAATTTAACTCTTAAAGACACTTTTAAAAAAAGATTAGTCAAACACAATTTGCTTATCAAAAACATTTTTCAAATGAATTATCTAAACAGAAAGTGCTTTTTTTTCAAAAGCACTTTTATGAAAAATTATTTTTAAAAAGTGTTTTTAAAAATATGTAGTTTTTAGGACAAAAAGGCTCTAAAGACATTCCATATTTCTTTTTTACATTATATCATCTACTTTAATATAAGTACCCAGTGAGAAATAAAAATATAAAATCAAGTCATCAATATATAATTTGGTTCATAACATGGAATACAAATGGTTAAAGGAATGACAATTGATAAATTAATTTTAAAAATCATTTTGAAGCAATATTTTGTTGAAAGGAAAACCACCACTCAGCTACAAGAATCACATAAAATTATTTCAATGCGGAAGATTAAATAGCATTTAATTTTTTATTTTAATCATACAAAATAATTAGTTCATGTCCAAGTAATTCTTTGATAGCTTATTTAATCATACAAAATTGGTACAAGCCTAAATAGAATAATGGTAAGCACTCCTTTCATAGGTTTCGGATTCGAGCTTCCTGGTATGGAGTCGTCTTTATCAGGAAGCGTTTTACTATCCAATGTAAAAGTTTTCGATATGAATTATAATTTAATCAAATTCCGATACGAATACTATAGCAGGAAACAAAAAAATCTACCTTCTATATTAGATAAAATTGTAATTACAATTGTTTTATAAAAATTTGCTATTTTCTTCAATTAATTACAAATCAGTTTCTACAAATTTATTAAAGATAAATTCGATTTGGCTTTCAGATTTACGACCACAATAAACTTGAGTTTTTTTTCAAATTTTTCTTTCATATTTTGAACACATTAGAACTATTCAAAAAAGTTTTTAATCTCATTTTTTGTCTATTTATATGTCTGAATCATTCGAAAAAATAGGCTTTTAAAAGTTTTTATCTATTTTTTTAAAATGCTCTATAATGAATTTGATCATTTCCAATGAGTAGATTATATTACAATAAATTTATTATAAATAAATGTAGTGTATTACATTCTAAATATATAACATTTTTATTTTTAAGAGACTAAGAAATAATAATTTGGGACGGTAGAGTAGTTTTGTGAACTCCTATGTAATACTGAATTAACACTCTTATTGTTTAGAAAAAATTAATATGAATTTACTTGATTTAAATAATCACATCACTACAAGAAATCAGAGCTTTTGTGACGACTTTCTGTAGCAACTTATCTTATCGTCACAAAATAAGATGAATCAGTGGCGACAAATAAATGTTGCCCCAAAATGTATAATTTAGCGGCGATCTTTGAAATCGCCAAAGATAACAGATTAGTGGCGACCTAATCACAATCGCCACAAATAATCCTACTAAAATATGCCTGAAAAACTAATTGGCCGCGATGAAGAAATTGTCGCTATAAAATGTCTTTTGGCTGCGACTTCATCACCACTATAGAGGATTTGGTGGCAACTTGGTAGTCTCCACTAATTCTATTGTTTTTATAAAGATTTTGGATGTAAGTTCAAAGTTTATTACTAATGTGTTTGGTTCATTATTTGTACTAAATGTTTCAACTACGTGATACAAAGTTTGTTTAATAAAAATAGTAGTGGACCTTATTATAAATTTTAAAATTATCTATTTATAGGATAAGTAAATTTTAAATAATAATAATTTATGAATGACAATTAAAACTCATTTATCTATATAGACAGTAAAAAATAAGATAGAAGTGAAACTTAAATATATACATACATGAACATAAACCCATCAAATAAAAAAAATATAAAAATATCTTTCCTCATACCAAACACACATGTACATCTTTGATTTAGTGAATGTAAAATAAAAAGAGATTGGTTTATAGCCATTTGGATACGGATAAATACAATATGAGGTTTATATTGAACAAAATTGTCGTGCAAACTCTTGCCAAATAATGGCAGACATCAAATATAATCTACCTTTGAATGAATTGTAGGACATAAATTTCATACATTTGTGTATGTGTATAAATTATAATATAATATATTATTTTTATAGAAGTTAAATTTGAAAAAAGTGAATGAAGTTAAAAATAAAATAAAAATGTGAGACAAGACAAAGTTCATTAGATGGTAAGCACCCCTCACTTTCAATCTTAAGGTTGTGAGTTCGAGTTTCCAAGGAAGTATAATGTGTGGATGATATACAGAAAAGAGGCTAGAATTAGGATTAAAAAGTGAAGAGGTAGTCAAGTAGTCAAGTGCCCACTCAAGAGACCATCGCAAAAGTAATCGACTGGTCTCTAAAGCGGGTAGGCCTTAGGTTGCCTCTACCGCTAAAGCGGTCTGGGGACGCTTAAGCGCCTACCGCTAAGGCAGTCCAGATGTTGCTTAAGCGGTTAGACACTAGATGTCCTACCACCGCTAAAGTTGTTTGGAGGCTGCTAAAGCAATTGCACTAGTAGCTTTGCTATCAACCAAAAGATAAGGTGGAATCTTTTCCGAACCAAACTTGGCATTTCGAAGCTAATCGCACTAACATGATTCTCATCCAAGAACATTTACCAAGAATTTTGACCGAAGTCAAATATTTGCCAAACTTCCAAAAACTTCTCGCCTAACGGCAAAGGTCTCAGGACCCAAACCAACTATTCCACTAGCCCAAAATGGGCCTTTTAGAGCTAATATATAAAACTGACAGAAAACTCATATGACATCAGATTCTTCGATTGTTGATCAAAATAAACTTTTTCAACTTAAAAGCTTCCAATAAAGAAAAACACACTCAAGACTTTCCTAACAACCTCAGAAAGCATGCTTTCCATTCCAACACACCAGAAACACTGCACAGAAACTACATACAGGGACAAAACAAAAAAATGCACATAAAAGCAAATAAATGACTTACATGAACACCCCTTTAATAACAATGCAAGAATACTTAGATTATGACATAAAACATTCATAATTTGACCCCCAACCATAGAACAAGGGCCACAACCCTAGAAAAAGGGTGGTTGACATCTCAAAACTTGATTACGTTTTCAAACATATATGTTTCAATTAAGAAATAATGCTAGAATTAAAAGAAAAAAGATAACCCTAAGAAAAAAAATCCTTCTTGCATCTTTTCCATTCTTCACTAGGTTGATTTTGACTCATAAACGTATAAGAATAAATTTTATAGTAGGAAAATTAACTAAGAGGTTCCACTAAATTGGGTGGACAAAAACAAACTTTTTTGCCTTTTCTCAGCAGAGGAACTCTTTGCTGAGAATTATCAAATCAAGTAATGATCAAGAGTAATTAGCATATTTTAGAATAACATATAAACATGAACAAATAATTGTCAAAAGACGTATATATACATGTAGTTATCATCAATTAAGTTAACTAAATCAGATAAATATCGATTATTTCCCGAAACTAATAATAATAATAATAATAATAATAATTTATCCTTCCAATGTACAACTTAACAATATTGATGTAGTGTTTTAAGTTCGTGTATTCGATAATATGGGGTACATGAATAATAATATGCATGCTCTTTTTGTATATATTTTATTAAATTACGCGATACAAACATGATATGTAATCTTGTGTTAATAAGGATAGTGTTTTGTAATAATTGTGTTAGAAAATGTAATGTTTTGGGTCGTGGGTCGCCCATGTGGACCGATCCGCTCCAATCTGTTTTGTCCTATTCAATTTAATTAATTAATTAATTGGATAATTCTTTTAAAAGGATAAGATTACACTATAACTGTTCAACCTCCCCTTAAAAGACTCCTAGTGGGAATAACTTTTAAGAGACGTGAAACGTAAAAAGGAGTGGAGAGGAAAAAAGTGAGAAACAGGAGTAAAGAAACAGAGAAGTAAGATTCTTATACAAATTAATCAACACTCTAAGAAGACTCTTAGTTTGTGAACAAAGACCGATCTTTGTTTCCTTGAGATTCAAAGAGTGATCTGGAGCAATTTCTTTCGACAAAAAAAATCAACAACAAATATTTCCGCTGCAAGTTACAAGGTACACATCTTGTTGTTGTTTTTCCTTTCAAATTTCATCATTGGTATCATAGTCATCATTAATTATCCCATAATTCGCTACTTCACTGTACATTCATTGTATTGTTGATAAAAAATAAACTGTGACTATTTTTCCTTGAAAATCAGTGAACAGAAAAAATTGGAAGATGTTAAGTTTTTTTAACACTATTTGAATGTGGATTAATTATATGGTAAATAGGATTCAAAATCCTATTTGATTCTGACTCATATTGTAGATAGGATTCCTTGTCCTACAAAGAAAGAAATTTTGTAAAAAAAATATTGAAAAACGGCTTCTGTTTGTAGCAATCTGAAAATTGGTTGTACAATAATTTTGGTCAAAACTTATTATTTCATGAGCTGCTCATTTGTAGCTTTCCGAAAATATATTATAATTAAAAAAAATGGATTTAAAATGAGTGAGATATGAATTTTTGAAAGTTGGCTGTTTTTTTTTACTATTTTCTGAAAAAACTGCTTCTGTTTGTAGCGATCTGGAAATTGGGTGTACAGTTTTTTTGGTTCGAAAAATATTTTTTCATGATCTACTAGTTTGTAGCTTTCCGAAAATATATTATAATTGAAAAACATATTTAAAATGAGTAACTTGAATGACACTTTCATTAACCTCATCAAATTTCATGAAAAAGAATCTGAGGAAGACATAAACTCTTTTAGATCTTTTTCTCTTTTCCTTCGAATGGCCCTTTCTTAACAGATTCTATGTCGCCCTTGGAACACCAATCTGTATGTTTTCTCGCCCTCGAAAACATGTCTTACGGCGACGTGCTCTTCTACATTGTCCTTTTGCTCTTCGAGAACTCCCACTTGGAATAATTCAAATTTGTTCTTGTTCAGCCATGTCTGAAATAGAAACAAGGAAACAATATGAATGACTGAATCATTCAATGTGACAACATATGTTACTTTCATTTGTAGAAGACACAAAAAAACTATTTAAGGAACATAAAGACTAAACAAACAAACAAGACCAATAAAATCCTAAAAGGACACATTCTTTTTCCAAAAGAATAATCCTAAAAGAGCACAAAACTTCTTCTTTTTTCAAATAAACGTTTTTAATTTATTTTTTTTCAGCCCAACTTTAAAAATTCATACCTCACTCGTTTTAAATTGGTTTTTCTATTATAATATATTTTCGAAAAGCTACAAACGAGTAGATCATGAAAAAATATTTTTCGAACCAAAAAAACTGTACACCCAATTTTCAGATCGCTACAAACAGAAGCAGTTTTTTCGGAAAACAGTAAAAAAAACAGCCAACTTTCAAAAACATATCTCACTCATTTTAAATCTGTTTTTTTAATTATAATATATTTTCGGAAAGTTACAAACGAGCAGATCATGAAAATATAAGTTTCGACCAAAATTATTGTACAACCAATTTTCAGATTGCTACAAATAGAAGCATTTTTCAAATTTTTTTTACAAAATTTCTTTCTTTGTAGGACAAGGAATCCTATCTACAGTATGAGTCAGAATCAAAGGATTTTGAATCCTATTTACCATATAATTAATCCACATTCAAATAGTCTTAAAAAAACTTAACATCTTCCAATTTTTTCTATTCACTGATTTTAAAGGAAAAATAGTCACAGTTTATTTTTTATCAATAATATAGTGAATGTACATGAAAGTTGCGAATTATGGGATAATTAACAATGAATCTAATACCAATGAGGGAATTTTAAAGGAAAAACAACAACAAGATGTGTACTAACTTGTTGCGGAAATATTTGTTGTCGAAAGAAATTGCTCCAGATCACTCTTTGAATTTCAAAGAAACAAACATTGGTCTTTGTTCACAAACTAAGAATCTTTTTAGAGTGTTGATTGATTTGTGTAAAAAACTTACTTCTCTGTTTCTTTATTGATCGCTTGTTTTTCCTCTCCACTCTTTACGTTCCACGTCTCTTAAAAGTTACTCCCACTAGGAGTCTTGTAGTTAAGTTTGGTGAAACAAATTCATAGTTATGTGACCAAAAGGAGGGATCAAAAGGTATTTTGTAACATCTATGCCTTTATTATTATTGAGTTTGTATCTTTCATTCTTTGTTGTTGGTAATACCTATGATAAATCAAAGTTAACTTATTTGGAAGAAAAATACTATTCTCTCCGGCTCATTGTATGTGAGGTAGTTTAACTCGACGGAGTTTAAGAAAGAAATGAAGACTTTTAAAACTTGTAGTATAAAATGAATGATAGAAATTTGTGTGGTTATAAATAATTTTATTAAAGGTAAAATGAATATTTCAAAGTTAAATTGTTACTTAATATAGAAATGTGTCATTCTTTTTTGCGTTGACTAGAAAAGAAAAGTAAGTCATATAAATTGAGACAAAAGGGAGTAATATTTTCTTTATCATGTTTGGAATTTGATTATTAGTTGATTGACATATATATTGAGGAAGACAATTGTTTTGAAAAACTAGGATTCTTCTATGGGCACCATTTTTGAACTTCAGAAAGTTGCCAAGAGATCCATCAATGAAGTACCCATGGTCTACGCCACAAAATCCTTCTCAGATTAAGAATAACTACAAAAGATATCCATGGGCTACTGAAGAAGACTATGAAGTACTGTAAATATATCAAGTTACTTTGTATGATATATGCTTATTTATTATTGCATTGTAATACATTGTACTATCCATGCAACAAGTGCACAAGAAAAAGATAGTTATGTAAAGATGATGTGATCCTACAAGAAATGATTAATTTAACTTTTGTTAGGTTGTCTATATTCCATGCATTATACATGTATCAGATGATTGGCTAAACAATTTAAATGTCAAAAAACCCACTTCTATATCTCCATTAGTAGGGACAATGCATAACCTCTAGTTTTGTTTTAAAATATTCTAGTTTTGCAATGTTTACTGAAAGAATTGTGTGGGTGCAAATTAAGTTGAAAATTATGAAATTAAGTCGAAGGCAAGTGAATTAGGAAAAGATAGTCTTCCATATTTTAAGAGATGTGTTTGATAACGCTCAAATGTACGTTTTACGAATCAACATACACGTGATCGCTAGCAATAAAAATCCAATGAGAGGTTGAGTCGAATCTCACAAGGAATGATATAGGCTAGACTTCAAGTATGAGGTAAAATTATGCACTGATTTCTTGTAAGTTTGTAAAATCAATTGTTAACATAAATTCAAATTGGAGATATTTCAAAATACCAATTTAGAGTTTGATTAACAAATTATTAACACAATTAAAGGGTCAAAGAATTTTAACAAGCAAGAGATGCATCCTAGAAATGTGCATAGTTGAATGTCAATTTCAAACATGGATAATCGTGTAGTTAATCATCAATGGGTAGGTTAGGTCATCAAATAGCACAATAAGAATTTCTCAATCGTGAATCGGCTTTCAAGTGATTTCTTTCGAACCTCAACATGCGGGCTACACATAATCAATCTAAAACCTTAACATAGTTTCCTTTTTTAAGAAAGACTAGCAATTGAAATAAACCAACAGTCATTAATTAGCTCACCCACTCAATACAACTCTCTCAAGCAAGTATAGATATATAGATTAGAACTGAGTTTGCAATCCCAATTCATAAATGAAAATATGATCAACTAATTAAATTTTAGATTAACATAAAATTGAGCAATTACAAACACCCAAATTCAATCTATAATCCAACTACATTGCACACTCTCAGAATAAAAGGATTTAGCTACACATACTGAAAATAAAGAGAATTACACCAAAGAAGTTGTTGTTCATTTAGGGTGTGTTTGGTATGAATGAAAATGTTTTTCACGGAAAATGTTTTTTCTCGAAAACAAGTGGATTTCTGACTTATTTTCTCATGTTTGGTTGGTGAGTAAAAAATAATCTCCAGAATATATTTTTTAGTGTTTGGTTTATGACTGAAAAAACAATTTTTAAGAAAATATCTTTTATTTTTTACTAGAGCGTAGAAAATATTTTTTGGCTGGAAACTAACCTCAATAATCGATCTAGGACATGACCCCGACATGCGAACTAGAACACAACTCTGGCGACAGATCTGAAATACGATCCTAAGATCTGACCAGGACTTGACCCCAACTTTTGACACGAGACCCAACATTTGAATTGAGACCTGATATCCAATCCAGGACCTGACCCCGACACCCAAACTTGAACATGATCTATCAATTTCGATTTTGACTTCGACACCTGAATCGAGGCCTGATTTTCAAACTAGGATCTGACCCCGACAATAATCGATGTGATACCCAAGATTTAACTTTCAAATCGAAATTTCAACACCAACTTTTGAATCGGGATCCAATCTCACCCGACTCGGGACCTAACTATCAAACTTGAATCTAAATTATTATTTTTTTGAAAAAAACAAAAAATTGAGTTTCTTTCATGTGAGGGGGAGGGGGGCTGGTAGGGGGGGTAAAAAAATAAAAATATTTTTCAAAAACAAAGTTTTAATTTTATTTTTTTGGGGGGGAGACTAGTA